TGAAAAATCTGCAGCTTGTGAGGGAAGAGCTAGGAAGATCAACTAGAAACTCCATGAACTATTTATTCTGTTCTTCCCACTAAAGTCCCCCCAATTTATCAATAGAAAATTAAATTATCCTTCAATATTATGGCTCATCTTTTGTACTCCTCTAATTTTATTGAACCGTTCCAATCTATCTCTCACCACTAATGTTCCTTACATGTCATGTTCCATGATATCCTAGCTCTTACCTTATTCCTGACTACTAATAAAACTGCGTGGCATATTATTCTATACATGGTTATTTAGGCTGGGGCAGGGAATTACAGGATAATTTCCTAAGCAGCGATGGTGTATAATTTATCATACTTATAAATATTCACAGTGTATTAAGTCATCTGATGAAACATGAGCTGTAAACATACAAATTACAGCCCGATAACCCTTAGACTAGTGCTTTATAATATAATAATAATCCTTGCATTTGATATATCACCTTATCACATCTTCAAGATGTGTCAAAGCACTTCACAGAATATACTGTAAAGTGAATTGACTGTATATTTTGTGGGCGATTTTAAACTATGGTTGATCTTGAAACAACCTTTGCACTATATGGTATCGGTCCATTCCAATTCTCATTTGACCTTTGGAGAAATCCAGTTCTCTATAGCTGTGAGACTCCTATACAAAATGAACGTAAGGAGCCTCAATTCAGAACCTAATTGCCATGACTTTGTACCTCAGTAAAATACTTACTGGGTAGTATTGACATGGGAAAGTAATAAAGTTATTGATTTTTCCCTTTTGATGTTAACATGGTAACAGTTCCACAGGTGCCAGGAGCTCTCTAGTACCTCACCAAGTGAGTAGTGATGCAGTATTACACTATGGAAACATCAGAGCTAATCCTGATATCATTCTTGTCAAATATCCACTCAGTATACAAGTCAATGAGTAGAAATCAGGAGTGGGACCACATTGAGACTTTTGTTTCTCTGTAGCCCACCAAAGAAGGAGTTTTAAAACTTCTGAAATAAAATTGTGGGGACGCGGATCAGAAATTGAATCCTTCCTGTTTAGTTATGACTCAGTAGCAAAGCTGCATTTACCTATTGAACCACCAGGAGAGTCTGACTGATTTTTTGATTAGGTTAAACAATTGTTATGGATTTCCTCACGGTTGCTGCCTATAGCCTTGCGAAAGTCACTGTCCTTCCTGAGGCTAGACCATCTTCTGTTTAAACAACTGATCATGTGCTCAGATCCCTGTTCTTCTACTCAATGTAATACATAACCACACACTCCAGACTATTGGGAAAATACATTGATACAATTAACAGAGTTTCAATTGTTAAATAGATAGAAATAGGAATTAAGATTTTTTAAAAATTGTTTATACGTGTAGGGGGAAGTTAATCACACAGAGACAAAACCACGTCTGAAAAATACTTTTAATAATTGTACGAACAGATTAATTGTATTTGAAAGCAAAAATGCCTACAAAAATATTCAGTCTGAATAATTTATGCATGGAAAAGAAATGCAACCTTTCATCAAAATTGTGTACATAGCTTGACCATGCATACTACACTAACAATGCAACTGCAGAAAAGTTAAAGAAATGGTAAAAATGAAACTGCTGTCCAGTAGCACAGTGAACACATAAATCTACAAAATTACAACTACATTTGTTACCTCATTTAACCCTGTTCAAGGGATAGAGTTGTCAACTGCCTCAAAAATACAATCTATAATTATTTTATCATTTGCATCACAAACCCCGATTCCATGTTTGTTTAAAAAAACTTCAGTGGGTTACAAAGGTTGCCAAGATTAAAATCTGTTTTGTGAAATTGAGTTTAGATTCCTTTGCAGTAACATGCAAGTACAAGAGAGTACTTTGTACTTTGCAAATAGTTTGTTTTAACGCTGACCTGTTTGGCTGATTTACATAGCGTGCATTTCAAAACAATTATGAATCTGTATCCATAACCAACCTGCGATGCAATTAGTACTAAAACTAGAAGCTCTCCCAAAGCAATGGGCTTCAGCAGACCACAGCACCAACCGCTTATAATGCCTAAGTGCATTTAATGATCGTTTCACATTTTAGTACTCAAATCCGAAAGCATACCTGGATTTGAGTCACATTCAGAAAATCCCTGTAAGCAATTGTCACAAAAGTACAAACTGGTATTTGTAACTTACAAAACATACCACTTGTATTCTAGCTTGAATGGATTTGCAAAATCAAAAAAGATTTGTGTAACTTTTTAACACCAACTAATATAACAGTCTTGGAGAACCATAAATCGATAGTTAATTCATATTGTTCATAACAGAAGGGGAAAGAGTTTATTGTATAAACTGTATTGTTTTTATTTTTGGTGTTAAAAGCCATCTTGAAAAGATAATGGAATTTGAGAGCTAAGTTAAATTGTTTAACTCAACAATTAACCAAAAAACAAATTATCTTCTAGCTTTGCAAAGCAGATATTTAGAAGTACAGTAACTCACCAGCCTGCAAGTAGTCTGTTACACTTAAAGTGAAAACATTCCAGTAAACTGGCCCTATTCACTTTAAGTGAAATAGACTTGTGAAATTAGATCTCTATTGAATCAGACAGTGTAACTGGGAAGCCACCTAGGGTAGGCAACAGACAGAAGGTGTTGAGCGATATAATGAAAAGATGTTTAACTCGTATTGAGTATCCTAATGGGATAAACTTGTTGGGCTTTTTCTTGATCCTAAAAAAATCTTACATCTGTTTGAGCCTCTGCAAAATACTGACAACTGAAAAGCTGTAGATATGGATCTCTCAAGCAAGTGGGCGATTAAATACTGGAGGATATGACCTTAAATTTAAGGCAACATGGGTTAGGACAGAGGCAAGAATGAATTTCGTCTTGCAGAAAACCATAGTTAAGAAATAATTAGAGGTATTTAAGTAAGAGACGTAGAAAATTGTTGAAATATTAAAGGATATTGTGAGAAGCCAGGAAAGTGAGATTAGATGAGGTGGTGAATTTACTGTCAGCGGGTTACAGGGCCAAATGGCCTTCTTGTGTTTCTAAATTCCTGTATAAATAACCCGAAATTGACTGCTAAACACAAAGGTATCAGCTTGGCTTGAACTTTTGTTCTGAATCAGAAAGTTATGGGTTCAAGTCCCACATCCAGATTATGAGCTCATAATCTGGGCTAACACTCCAATGCAATGTGGGGGGAGTGCTACATTATTGTGAGTGCTGTCCTTCAGGTGAGATGTTGAACAGAGAACCTGTCTTGCCTGGTCAGGTCATTGTTAAAGATTCCATGGTGCTATTTGGAAAAAAGAAAGGGGTTTTCTTCCAGAATCCTGTCCAGCAATTCTTCAGATAAAGTTGGTTATCCATTTCAGGGCTGTTTGTGGGACATTTCTGTGCACAAATTGGCTGTCTTGTTTACCTACAAAATGCAGTCCGTTAAAGCTATTAGAGACATTTTGAAAATGTGATAAATCGCCAAATCAAACGATTATATTAGGCTGTATTGAATTAGCCAATCTCACTGGGGACTATTTGGCCTCATTGTTCCTGTGCTAGAGATTGGAAAATTAGTTGCATATTCTTGCTCCTGATTACCATCCAGTGACCCTTGCTTGAACTGCATATGTGTAATAATAATAACACAATACTTGTCTAGCTAGGCCACACAAATTGTGAGGACTTATGCATTAGTGCAGACCTGCATACTTTTTTAAATCAGACATGTCTCTTCAGAGCCAGTTAAGCTACAAGGAAACCCCACATACCTTCCTTCCAAGGACATTTTATTACCCAGAAAAGGGCTGAGGGGACACACTAGGATTTGACCACCAGAAGCTTTTTGCCTCAAATCCAGTGCATATCTGACTGAACGACTGGAATATATGTCAAGTGAATAAAGGATCACACTTGGCTATGATAGGCCTCGTGGGTGAACAGTTCATCAACACTTATCGTCCACATTCACACATGAAATAAAATGGTAAAGAAGGTTGAGAGTTGCTGCTGGGTGTGGAAAGCGAGACGGAGAAAAAACTGCAGAAAATGATTCCTGAAGGCCTCTTTTAATCGTTGAAAAACAGACTTGCTTTATACCAAAACGATTATTCAGTTTTATGTTAATTTGACATTTTGCACAGTCAAGGGTTATGGGAGGATACAATTCAACAAAAGTTACAAATTTAAACCATGTTCAGTCTTTAAGACTGCAAAATAAATAGGCAAAACCAGATCATTTTTCCCCCCAAAATCAAAACTTTAAACAGTTTTAATTCTGAGGTAAACTTTTTGGCAACAAGGCAGAATACATGTCTGAGATATGTTCAATTGGCTTCATTAATAAAAACTATATAATCTTGCATTATAGGATAAGGGTTGAGCATGTGCTGTTCTTATAAAGAGGATTGCAAATTCTGGACAATCCTGTTGTTGCTCCCTTCCATGTAAAGTAGCCGTGGGAGAATGCTGTGCACCCACCACTAACTAAGCAAGGTATATCTGGCTTCCAGTGCTGACAAGCCAGTTCCTGCACTATAAAATGGCCAACTATGGGTCGTCAGGTTACCACTGATATCACTTCCTGCACATTGCCTACAAATATACAGTAACTTTCCTGAAAATCCTGTGAAACTCTTGAGATGTTTTGATGTTGTGATACAGTACTATATAATAATAATAATCCTTGCATTTGATATAACGACTTATCGCAACTTCTACATGTCTCAAAGTGCTTCACAGAATATAGTGTAAAGTGAATTGACTGTATATTTTGTGGGCAAAACGTAGCAGCCAAATGCACACAGCAGTGTCCCACAAAATGGGAAGGGAGATTCCCTTGAAGTCCTCGTCGAACACTCCCCCAGTAAAATTAGTCACTCACTTAATGTCTGTTTGTGGGACATTACTGTTTGCAAACTGGCTGCTGCCAATTTGTGTAGTCACTACACTTTACAATGTATCCTGTGAAAGAGCTGTTAGACATCCTCCCAACATTATATTAAATGCAAGTATTATTATTATACACAATATGCACAGGAGACTTTGTTGATATTACCTCCTCCACACTCACACATGCAACATGGTGACAAGACAGCATCCGTAAGTGACCCATTTTTTCATGCCTAACTTATAATGCGACCAAAGGAGCAATTTTAACTGTATTTGGAGAAAGCTTTGGAAAGAACACAATCAAAGTATTAAATAGAAATATAATATTTACTCATCACTCAAAACTTAAGATTGTTACTCTAGTCTATTTTCTGGTTCTTTCCCAAAATAGCTAGGGACGTCCTCTCAAAGTATATGGCACAATACAAATATAATTTGTTGTTGTTGTTAAAAGTTGATCAAAACTCCTATATATTCATTCATCAGCAATAAATCCTGATGATCACAGACCAAAGAAGTGTTTAATCGAATTTTAGAATTTGTTAATTGCTAAGGATAGAAATGTACTGAAAAGAAATACAGGTAAAAGAAATAAAGTTAATTCTCAACATTTCTGTTATGGAAATAACATTCCTTTGTTAGGTTTTAGCAAAAGGGGTCATTTACACCATCCACACAGACAGCTGAATACATGGCACTTTCTTAACCATGATAGACATAATTTCCTTCAGCAATTCATTACTCAGTATTTGTATGATTCACGTGAATGATGTTGATATTAACTTTCAATGAAAGATAATTGTAACTGCCACAGCCTGACCGTGCATCTAACTTCTTATGCATGTGTTGGGATCTAAAAGGAAGATGGTGGCAAACACAACCTGATTTTACAAGATGATACATCAAAATCTGATTTGTATTTGTATGAAATAAATCACCTTATTCAAATTTTAACAGACAATCTTCATAACTCTAGCCATAACTCTTGTGCATTCTTTAATTAATATCTAACAAATGGCCTGTTGGAAACATGAATTTTTTTTATAACAGTTAATATAACACACATAAAAAGCATAATTCCTCAATGGCATTTCCTGAAAAGATAAGATCAATAAAAAAGTGGTTAGATCTGTCAACATTATGTGGAACATTTACCTACATAACACATAATAAAGCACTTTTCCAGCAGTAGCTCTCCATTAGGGCTGCAAATCCAGATTGTTTTGAAGAGCTGTCATCTCGGAATAAAAGGCCTTTAGTGGTTTTTAAAAAAATGATCCGCTGCATGGCCTCTACTCATCGTTAATGAAAAACATACTCATTAGTGGCAGAAGGATAGCTTTCTCGTCCATTCACAACTGTTCTATAATTCGCGTGTCACATTCCAACAAACTTCAGGAAAATGTTCTGAGAACTACATGAACATTGAAAGCATCCAAATTGCAATTTAGCAGCAAAATATTTCCACCTTCAGCCAAAATATATTTTAATATAAGCTTCAGGCAGCACTCATTATTCCTTGAATGTCATTTTGATTGCCCGGCTTGTTTAAAAGGATTTCAGGTCAGCTAGAATAATCTTTCACCAGATGAAGGACGAGGCACAACTAGATCCACTAGAGCTATCGATGTTGATAACTGATTCAATCACCCAGTTCAATGCTTCCACAGTGCAGGTTTCAATTTTTGAGTCTTTCTTCTTTGGTATTTTTAAGACAAAGTATCCCAGTGAAAATGGCATCTTCATGGAACAAGGCACAGTTCATTTGGAATTACCAATGCCATATATTGTTCCTGTCATGGTTAAAGCTGATATTACATTAGTAGTTTACTCAAAGCAGCTGACTTTGAATTTAAAAGAGTTTTTGAAATGCAGCAATAGTAAATGGATGAATGGCTGACATTGTACACCCTGCATATACTATTTTAACGGAACAAATGAAATTTTCATTCTTTGATTAATGTATCAGCAAAAGTCCTGTTGTTCACTCTGAATGTATCTGTCTCAACAAAATGTCCAGATTGTTGAGTAGATCATTGTTGTAATTATTGGATAAAAGTAAAATCCTTTCCACTGTACTTTCTGTCACGGGATCTGGGACTTTTTATCCATTGGGAAATTCAAATTGCTTCCTAGGAATAATCTCACTGAATGAAAAGATGATGAAGGGTTTACAAAGCAAGTTAGCAATAGCAGAAATCCTCAGTAATCCAATTAGACCTTGGCAAAAGATGTGTCGAAAGAGTTTGGAAGTGTTTTAGCATGGGGTAAAGCCATTTGTCCACCTCTCATGGAACAAAATAGAGCTCTAAACAGTCTAAAAATACCAGCTGATGAAGGCAGCTGATTACCTTTTGAAGTTATATTAAAGAAGCACCACACTTTGTAATTTACAACGTTGATTATGGTCAATTTTGAATGATGCTTATCATTTGAAGGCTGCTGGGTTTTATTACAGTATATCACCTCAGGCTGCTCTAAAAAAACATGGAAATCAAACGCTCCCTTCGGGGACACTCTTAATAATAATAATAATCCTTGCATTTGATATGAAAAGATGACAATTTCAGGTGGTTCTAAAACAACAATGAATGAGAAGGTGGACATTTAGGATTCGTTTTAGGCTGCTGGTCAGATTTTGACACAAAACAAAGCAAGTGCAGAAGAACCCTGTCATTTTCAACCAAAGTTAATACCGCCCTCTCCTATGGAATACATTATGGTCAATGGATCACAAGTACCTGATACATTTCCGAGGAAATGTGAACTTTTTTTTAAGCATTCAACCTATTTCCTCGGCAATGAGAATGAACTAAGTAACCATGGCCTGGCCACAATTTCTCACACCAAATAAGTGACACGTAGTGACAAATTATTTTCGCTTTTTTTTCCACCCTGCATCCAGGGTGACCCCCTCCCAACCCTCCCTGGACAGCGAATGCTTTAATCTGCATAGCGTTGCCCTATGTCCTCTCTCCTTAAATTGATGTCCATGAGCCGATCTGCCTGGAAGTCCATCAGATCAGCCTCGTTGATCTGGTACATGACCGATCGCGCCCTGTTGGATGGGAAAGCTCCGCAATCTCCAGCCGAGACCCCGGAGCCCATGGTGCGGAGTGGACGGCGGGTTGAGTACATTCGCCGCACATTGACTGGGGCTCTTCTCCTTCGCAGCTTCCTGCGGAGCATTTTGGATATCCAGATGGAGAAGCCCAGGATCACCAGGAAGGCGTTGGCGGCTGACAATATCAAAATGTAATGCTGCACTCCCAGGGGTGCTCTGGTCAGGGGCAGGGTGAGGATGCCCAGGCAATGATCCCGAGAAGCCACCTGGCACACACGCTCCGAGATGACACTTTCCAGGCACACAATGTAAGGCGTCTCCTCCCGCAGCTCCCTCAGTGTGACCCAGTCTGATCGGTCCTTCACGTAGATGAAACGGTGGAATGCCACCAGCTGGCCAAACCTGTCAAACAGCACCCGGAAATACACGGCATTCCTGAAACCAGGATGTGCCACTTTCCACCTGATGGTGGCTGTGGACGCGGTGACTCCCTGCACGGTCAGGTTGGTGATGTAGAGCTTGTTGAACTCGCAGGGGTCTGTGATCAATGGTTTGGGCGCTGCCTCGTCCACCGAGTCTACCAGGTAATGGTACTGTTCTGACCTGGAAGAGAGCGGGGAGGAGGTGTCAACAGTAAACACCAGACTGGTTGTCTCTCCAGCCGTGGTCTCAGATTCCAGATCTTCTCCAGTATTCAGTCCCAGGTCAGGGCTGATTGTAACAGTCCAGGTGGGTGATGGTTGGAGAATGAGACGCTTGTTTTTAGGCAGCAGGTTAGAAGCAGCAGTGGGGAAAGGAGAAGGCTTGTGCAGTGTGTCCTCTTCAGTCTTGGTTTTCTCTGGGTCCAGGGTCCTCTCCTGATCCGCCTGGACATCCAGTTCGTCACCCCGGGCCCCCTCGGAAACGTTGGAGGATGGCTGGATTTTGTGGAGGGAGCACAGGTCGGCTCGTCCTGCACCCTGCAGCTCTGAATCCGTCAAATAATCCAGGTACTTGCCGCTCAACAGAGTGGGGTGATGGCAGCGGACAAAGACAGTGAGCAACCTGCCTTGAGCGTGCGCCCATGCCATCCACTTCCTCAACTCCCCCAGCCTGCAGTCACAAGCCCAGCTATTGCCACTCAGATCCAAGCTGTACAGGAAGCCGCTGAAAGTGAAGGTCTGGCCCGACAGGTGGGACAGCTGGTTATTCTTCAATTTCAGCACCTTCAGGTTTGCCAGTCGCTTGAAGGCCAGCGGGTGCACATTGGCGATGCGGTTACTGCTGAGATCCAACTGCTCCAGCCTGGCCAGAGGGTCCAGCAGACTCCCCGGGACCTCCCTCAACAGGTTACCATTGACCAGCAGCTCCTTCAGGCCAGAGAGGCCCTCGAAAGCCTGGATGGCTATGTGGGAGATCTTGTTGTGGCTGAGAGACAGCTTGGAGAGTTTCTGGAGCGACTGGAAGACGCGGTGTCCGATGTACTTGATATGATTCTGGGCCAGGATGAGGGTGGCCAGGGACCTGAGGTGAGCGAACACGGCCGCGTTGCGGAGCGAGGTCTGGTTGTTCCTGGCCAGGTTCAGGTAGGTGAGCTGCCCCAGGTTGGTGAAGGTGTCCGCTCCCAGAGCCTGGATCCTGTTGGACTCCAGCTGCAGGGAAAGCAGCTTTCCCAAACGCTTGAAGAGCGCGTCCTGCAGCATCTCCAACGCGTTGCCGTCCAGTCTGAGTTTGATCAGGTTGTCCAGGTGTGCGAAGAGCTGGTGGCTCAGCTTCTTCAGGCGGTTGTCGTTGATGTTGAGGAGCCGCAGTTTGCCGAGGGAGCTGAAAGCCCCGCTGGGGAGGCTGGACAGCGCGTTGTTGCCCAGGTACAGCTCCTCCAGCCTGGACAGCCGGTCGAAGGCTTTGGGGTGGATGAGCTCGATCTTGTTGTACTGCAGGTCCAGGCGCAGCAGCCCGGGGAAGCGGGTGAAGCGGGGGGCCGAGATGTTGCTGATGAAGTTGCCCCCCAGGCTGTAGGTGAGGACGTGCTGGGCGTCGCGGAGAGGATGGGGCACCCGCCGCAGCCCGCGGTTCGTGCAGACCAGGTGCTGAGGCTGACAGTCACATCGCTCCGGACACCACGGACTCACAGCCCCGCACACCCCCACCCCCACCCCCACCGCCACACACCACACGCACACCAGCCCCAGCGCCCCCGAGAACCCCATCCCCGCTGCTCGCTTGTCTGGCGGCCGGTTACCTTGTGCATCCCCCCCCCCCCCCACCCACACACACCACACACCCACACACCCCCTCCCACACACACACACACACACCCACACACACCCCCTCCCACACACACACACACACCCCACACACACACACACACCCCTCCCACACACACACACCACACACCCACACACCCACACACACCCCCCCCCCACACACACACACACACACCCCCTCCCACACACACACACACACACACCCTCCCACACACACACACACACACCCCCTCCCACACACACACCCACACACACCCTCTGTATCTGCTGCTTTAACCTGAGTTCAGTCCCGATGGAGGCGGAGATGGGCAGCTACACGGCGATGCTCTGCAGCAGGAACTCTGGAGCTCACAGCCACCCACTTGGTTTTAGTTCAGTCCTTTTGCAGATTGCATCTGGGAATACATACCATTACTCTTCCCCTGGTCCATAATCCCCTCTCCCCTCCCTCCTCTCCCTCTCTCCTCTCCCTCTCTCTCCCTCCTCTCCCTCCCTCCTCTCCCTCTCTCTCCCTCTCCCCTCCCTCCCTCCTCTCCCTCTCTCCTCTCCCCCTCTCTCCCTCCTCTCCCCACCCCCGAAAGAAAGAAAGAAATCTTCCAAGAAGCCAACTTCAGCAGAGCTGCGCTCCCTTCCAGAATCGTTCAGAGAGACACACAGAGAGAGACAGAGAGAGTGAGAGACAGAGAGAGTGAGAGAAAGAACATGGAGAAGGCAGCAAAGTGGCTCTCACAGTCCTTCACTGAAGCCCCACAACAGCAACTCTTGGACAGGGACAGATTTACAAAATGCACGGACGGATCGCCAAGAAAACAGCCGGAAATTCGTGCTTCCCCGCACTTCCCCTCTCACTCCCCCCCTCTTTGGAGACTCCAACCACAACACAACGCGGATGTGTTTATGTGAAGGCAGAGCTGCAGTGGGAGGGGGGGCAGCCTCAGCCACAGTGTCCATCCCACAGCAACAGCAGCAGCAGCAGCACACTTTCACTGCCAGAGTGAAGGCAGGGCATCTGCAAACAGCCCCAGCCTGCCCTGCCCTGCCCTGACTGTCCTGCCTGCCCTGCCTGTCCTGCCTTGCCCTGCCTGCCCTGCCCTGCCCTGCCCTGCCTGTCCTGCCCTGCCTGCCTGCCTGCCCTGCCTGTCCTGCCTGCCTGCCTGCCTGCCTGCCTGCTTGTCTGTCTGTCTGTCTGCCCTGCCCTGCCCTGCCTGCCTGTCCTGCCTGTCTGTCTGTCTGCCTGCCTGCCTACCTGCCTGCCTGTCCTGTCCTGTCCTGTCCTGCCCTGCCCTGCCTGCCCTGCCTGTCCTGCCCTGCCCTGCCCTGCCCTGCCCTGCCCTGTCCTGTCCTACCCTGCCCTGCCTGTCCTGCCCTGCCTGTCCTGCCTGCCTGCCTTGCCTGTCCTGCCCTGCCTGTCCTGCCTGTCCTGCCTGCCTGCCTGCCTGCCCTGCCCTGCCCTGCCTTGCCTGTCCTGCCCTGCCTGTCCTGCCTGCCTTGCCTTGCCTTGCCTGTCCTGCCCTGCCCTGCCTGTCCTGTCCTGTCCTGTCCTGTCCTGTCCTGCCCTGCCCTGCCTTGCCTGCCCTGCCCTGCCTGCCCTGCCTGTCCTGCAGTCAGCACACACTGCAACTACCACTGTCTGCAGTACAGCTCCAAACATCAAACATCCCAACTCTGCCTTCACTCACTTCAAATCGTCCGCAACCCTTTCAACTGTATCAACCCTGTGTGTGTGTGTGTGTTGTTATTTTCCATTCAAAGTTTCGAAATGCAGATTGTCTGCTATGTATGTCCCTGTCTGTGCAGGGACATATACAGCAGACAATCTGACAGTCTGTGCAGGGACAGACAAGCAGACAGACTGCTCCACAAGGCTTTCTTTTTGCAGTCATCGCCCTCATCGCTAAGTTTTCAGCAACACCTACCAAAAAGGATTCTTGCTGAAAAGGTGCTCCTGATCCTGTGTGTAAAATGCCCATTATAATGATTTGGAAACAAAAGAGAGAGAGAGAGGGATAGTCTCACCAGATTGAATGTGCTGGGGGGTTGAGGAGGCACAAAAAGGTGACTGACTGGTGGTTAAACCATTATACTATAAATTGCTGCATATATTCTCAGGAGAATCTTCCAGACATTATTAACATCGTTTTGCAAATAACAGCCAGAGCTAATATCCTGAAGCGAGGAATGTCTCAATCTGCCACGTTTTGCCCTGAAAATTGCAGCCAAAAGTCACTGAGGGCTGAGGCTGCAGTCACCAGTTTGGGGGGAGCTCATTCATGTCTTTAACAGCCAGGAATGTGCATCTACAGGCATGTGATACCTCAGGCACAACATTATTTAACTATCTGATTAAAACAGTGTATAAAACACAGACACGTAGAAGAAATAAAACTAAGAAAGCAAAATGTCTAATTAATTGGGAGATAAAGTGCTCATCTCCTTGCCCCCCCCCCCCCCCCTCCTATACCCTCACCCCCACTTCCAGCTCAGGTGCAAACGCTGGACTGTCTGGTATCTTGGGACATTCTATGATGTGAAAGGTGCTAATAGAAATAATAATAAATAATAATAATGTACATTTATATTGTATTGTAAGTGTGCCTACTGACACTGCTGGAATCTTACATTCAATATAGTGTCATCACGTCCAAAAGATGTTTCAAAGCACTTCACAGGATTTAGTGTCAAGTGTAGTGTCTGCACTTTTATTTTGTAGAACACTGAACCGGCAAAGCCCCACAAACAGCTATGAAGTGAACGATGAAGAGGTGAAAAATCCACCATTTCTTTTTCAGCAGAGTAGAGCATTGTGCGTGGCATGGATCGACCAGACGAATGGAGAATTTATATTTAAAATAAGGATTTTTTTACCACTTCATCCTTCAAATAGTTGTCAATTTAATTTTCCACGGTATCTACTTCAAAGCGCATGATAAACAAACAATGGACTTTGAAAATGAGAAATGTATAGTAAGTCGACTTTAAAGACTTCACAGTTCAGGGGCAGGGTGTAATACTGACATTTTATTTGCTAACTGTTGGCTAGCTTAGTAGAGTTGATAACATTCTGGGTCAGATTCTCCTCAGCAGTATTTGAGCATATATTCTACACTTCATTGTCAGAGGTTCCATCTCTCAAAAGAGAAGATAAATTGAGATTCTGGTTAACAAAATCCTATAATTTGATATAACAATCCTTGCATTTGATATAGTGCTTTTCACGTCTTCTCGACATCTCAAAGCGCTTCACAGAATATACTGTAAAGTGAATTGACTGTATATTTGTGGGCGAAACACTGCAGCCAACAGCATTGTCCCACAAACAGTCGTGGATTGAAAATGACCAATTTATTATTGTTTTCTTTTTTGGAGGGATTATTATTAGGCGTGTGGAGTAAGGAAATTTGCCCAAGGTTTCGCCCTGTTTGGAATTGAACCCAGGTGTCTCGCTTGCAACGCGAGTGCTCTAACCACTGAGCTACAGGACGATAGCAATTAACTAGTCATTCACCAGTTCATGGGCCTCGCAAGCACAAATTGCTGTTGAGATTGTCTACGAAAATAGTCACTAACCTTTGTAGTAATTACCTTTAAGCAGACATTTTGACACAAGGGACTATAAAAAATATAAGTTCTTTCTTTTATTTTTTATTTTCCACTGATTGCCCTCTCCAATGGGAACATAGTAAGTAAGTAACCTTAGTAGTAAGTGTCGTCACGACAAATCAAATGGCTAGTGTTCATGTCTGTTCATTAACCTAAACCAGCTCCAATGAACCTACTTAATTAAGCTTCAAATTTAGAAATCATTGGGTGCATGAGGCCATAATTGATTCCTTCAGACTGACTGCATGACAAAGCCATATATCTTTCTCTCACAGTTCAAATGCCTCATTTGTATGTCTGCAAGCATAACACTGCATGAGATTGTATTGTTTAAAATATTTCTCCCCTTCCCAATAGAGTAAAATACCTGGCAGCGCCCTCTCACCCTTAGCTTTGGTACACTTGATTTGTTTTGAAAGCATAGCCTATTTTGGTCTATTCACAGAGATCCAATAGCAGTGTTCTTTGACTATGAGCTGTAGACATTTAAAGGGCCAATGGATGTCAAATTTGTTTTCATTTGCCCACAAGCACACAGCACATTACCATAGAATACATCATATGTCACTTGGAAATGACATACTACTGATAAAAATGATACACAAATCTTTCGACTCTTGTCTATTCCCAAATAATGAAAGATTTTCGATACATGTTTTTGATGAAAACATTGGTCCTTTAAAAACAAACATAGATTACAATAATTTAATGGCTTTGAAAAAATGGAAAAAATGGGTAGTTTGTGTTAATATACCCATTCTCTGTAATCAACTATGGGAATTACAACATACAGAACTTTAACTGGGCATGTGTAATTTAATAGGAAGTACTTAACCTTAAATTTAGCTTTTTTTATAAATTGTGTGTACAAACAGCTATAGTTACATGACTTTTCTGTGGTGGTCCTGAATGTATCTACCTTTCATTGGAGTGGACGGCTGGAACAACAAAGGTAATGAGAATCTCTAGCAGCTTCCTCTTTCTGTACCATTGGTGACATTAAGATTTGGTGTTTATCTGTCTTGTATAAACTTACATTAGGTTTTGTTGCCTGTGTTTCAGTGAAATGTCTATTGTCAATGTGTTGTATGCAATTGTCGTTTCGCCCACAAATATACAGTCAATTCAATTTACAGCATATTCCGTGAAGCGCTTTGAGACAACTAGAAGATGTGAAAAGCGCTATATCAAATGCAAGGATTATTATTATTATTGACAGAAAAGGTTTAAACATTACGATTGTGCAATAAAATCATACTTTTTAAGACCCATGGTGAAAATCTCTTGCAATGCTACATTTTTATATTTAATGCTTTGCTAAGACAAGTGAGTAATTCAACACA